TGGAGGTCTCTTCCAACCTAAACGATTTGATGATTCTATGGACTACTGAGAAATACCACATGTGAAATCAAAGCCATTAGACTTTCAACAATGAGAACAACTAAAGGGATTTTCCCCCTCTTTGGTGTGAATAAGCAATGAGCTGTGTCACTTTTCCCAGGCTCAGCAGGCCACTTGGCCCGAAGCAAAGAAGAGATGAAAAAACCTGTTTCCAAGAAGGCTTCTAGGTACCTCAGATACCTAACACTTTTTCCCTGGTTTTGGGCAAACCTTAAGAGTTGTTTTGGTAAAGAGATTTGAATTTGGTTACAAATTCAAAGACAGTAAGGAAAACGAGGGATCATGATGTAAGGAACCTACAGGAAGGCTGGAGAGGGACTTTTCACAAGAGTGTGCAGTGACAGAACAAGGGGAAATGGTTTTAAACGGAATAAGAGTAGGTTTTGACTTGATCTTTGGAAGAAGTTCTTCAGGACAAGGGTGGTGAGAGTCTGGAACAGGTTGCCCAGAGAGGCTGTGGATACCCCCTCCCTGGAGGTGTTCAAGGCCAGGCTGGATGAAGCCTTGAGCAACCTAGTCTAGCTGAGAGGCGGCAGGGAGGTTGGACTAGATGATCTCTAGGGTCCCTTCCAACCTAAGCCATTCTATGATTCTATGATCTCAGAGCCTGAGAAGAAACCACTTCAGTGGGTGACTGTGGCTCATTTTTTGAACAGAACTGTGAAGCCTCTCTGATTAAGAAAGCATTTTCACTTAGTTGTAGTTACTACTAACATATGCTAATGAAAGTCCTTACAGCACATTTCCTTTGTGCTAACTTTACATCCTGGCCAGGGCTAAAGAGAAGGAAAACAAAAAAGTTGGTCTAATTTTCAAGATGCTCAAGGAATCGAGAATGGTTCCTTCTGCTTAAATACCCTAGCCTTAGAAAACGTGTAATGCAAAATGACATAAAGAGAGGCAATGGGAAAAGAAACATACCTTTGGGCCAGGCTTTCCTGACAGCCCAGGCTTGCCAGGGTTCCCAGGAATGTCTTCTGGTCCAGGGTACCCGACTGCTCCTTTCTGCCCTGATGGCCCCGGTTTTCCCTTGAAACAAATTCAAATCAGATATAGCACTGTTGGCTCCCTTCAGCTTCACCATCACAGAGCTAGATTTCAGTCACAGTATTTCCTAGACCCATAGTAACAGATCCAGTGACATGAACAAACACTTGCAGGGGGAGCATCTGAGTTAGGATGTTTGGTTTAAAATGCTATTGGCTTAACCTTAGACTTGCTGTGTTGTGGGATCTGAGCAACTTCAGCTGAAATCATGGGGCTGATCCCTCTGTGTCCCAGGCCTGGAAGATAGCTGAGGGTGTTGATTCTTAAACTAAAGTAAGAAAGTCTGATAAAGTGATCTATTTATCCCTGTAAAAAAAAAATCAAACCACATACCTTTTCAGCCTTCATTTTACTAGACACTCTGTATTGTACAGTTGCAAATTTACACTCTTCAAATTTGAACATATCAAAATTATGTACAAACTTCTAATAAGGTAGGCTTGTCCTAAGTCTTGCTGTCCTTGCATGAAAAAGCTTCATGTCACATCCATCAGAAGAACAGTGATTTTTTTCTTTACAATTATTTTCCTTTAGACTGACATACACTGTTTTAAGGGGGTTGGAGTTCTGCAATTATCTCTGTATGAGTGCATTTCTCAGAAAATTGTAATATGATAACTACATACATGTATCATTTGAAAAAGTGTAGTTAACCACAGCCACATAGAATATAAGAAGCATGACACCTTTATCTGATTTCTGACTTCTGGCTGCTGAAGCATCTTGCACTTGGGACGTGCTTTGAAAGTTCCTCAAGTTCTTGTTTTACTGTTTTCTCCTCCTCATTTCTCCATATGTCTTGCTTTTCCCTCTTTTCCTTTGCTAAATGATACACTCTTTGCAGTCCTCCAGAGGAAAAAGCCAAGTATTTACAAAAGCCACACATTCCCTTTCCTTCAGAGGCTCATCTTGCACTCTGCCCAGCAGGTACAAGCTCTGTGAAGCAGCTGTATGTCTCTGGTCACTGACAATGTTTTGATGTGAAGTAGTAAAAGTTATTTACAATATGTGCTTGTGTGGTACTGTTTATCAGGGGACCAAAATAGCCTTGTTGCATTTTGTTCTTGGTTATGTTTACAGAACACCTACTGCTTCCTGCTCTTTCTTCTCCCTCAGAAGGCAGCGATGCAAGTCAGCTTTTCCACAGTAACTCAAGAAAGAACATTCAAATCTCAGCTCAGGGCAAGTGAGAGGAAGGGATAAACCTCAAGGGATCTGCCAGCTGTATCCATCATGGACATACTGATTCAGGCTTCTGTAGGTTGCAGCTGTTCAAAGACCTGATGGGAGCCAGGAGTGAGCAGTAGCACAGCTCTGTGCAACATAATGTGCTAACTGGCATATGGACTACAAGCCACACACAAAAACAATCTAATTAAATACCTTTACAAGTGGGAAGAATCTTGTCACTTCCCTTTCTTGTGCTGAGTAAATAAGTATAATTCAGTATAATTTAACATAGTTTCAAAAATTATTCTTATTTTCACTAGGTTTCCTTGACACTTTCTGAATAATAAGAAGGTTCTTCAGAGTGAGTGCAAAACTTCCTGGTACCACTGGAAAAGCTCCATTCTGGTTTTACTCATTATTATTTTCTTTGTTTTATAACCTGAAGACAGACTGTAGAATTTTGTTACTTACAGGAATTCCAGGTTTGCCTGCCTGACCCGTTGCTCCTTTCTTCCCTGTGGGCCCCTAAAAGTTACAAACACTTGTAAACTGACAAATAGCTTAAACTCAATCCCCTAAGAAAAGCTAAGAATTGTTCCTCTCAAGTAAGCATGTTCACGATGCCTGGCTTTCAAACAGGTTATTTCAAGTTTTTCAAGTAAAAGTGTATACATTTTTGGTAGAATTGTACATATTTTTCCCTTTCCCAAATCAGTATAGTGTAGTTTTCAGAACTTTTTCAACAACAATAGGCATAAAAGGTTTTTCTCTATGAACCTGGCAATTTTTCCTCCATCAGTCACATCCCTCTAAGGAAGTACCTTATAAAAAGGGAAACCACCTAAAGTAGGCAATGCAGATATATGTGGAAGAGAATACAAGAAAGAAACAGTATCACATATGGGAACATTCTTTTTCTCTAAGATGTACACAAATGATAAAATTTACTTAAATACAGACTTTTTTTTTGTCTTGACTCATCTAGGAATCTGTAGTCTTACAAAATTGAGTGATATGATAGCAGATAACATTCTCATAAGTGATTAATTGACACAGGAAGCCAAGAACCAAGGAAGAAAGGCTCAGAATGAGTCAAAATCAACTCAGAGCATTTTTTTTATTATAAGATATCCTTCACAGAATATAAAGATCCACAGCACGAATTTTATCCTGCCTCTAAAAGATACAACCACTTAGACAGCAGGGACAATAACGCTTGTTAGCATAGATCAAGTAGAAAAAAAAGCTTCCACAATTTTCTGGATTATTTTAAACACTTTTCTTAAAGTGAAAGAGATGGTAAACTGCTCTGCTGAAATATTACAGAACTTGCAAGAGAGTGAAAGAGCTAAGGTCATTGTAAGTGCGTTTTATAAATAATGCAAATACGATAAAATCAGCAGAAGTCTGTTCCAGTCTTTAATTTAATGCCTTTTGTTAAGAAAGGCATAGAAAAAGTCCACCGATCAGAATTGGAATGTGTATATTCGAAGTACTTTATATTGCTCTTATTAACATTTCTGAGTGCATATAAAGTAAAGCCAGATGATGAAGGGTTGCAATGTATGGGATTGGCTTTGTAAGGCTTGCTACGGCAGTACCACTCATGCCAATGGAGTTAAGATCATATGAATGTTTTCACTATTAGGATTTTTTCGTAAACCTTTTGGGTGTTATGGGTTGCTCCAGGCTGGATACTGGATCCACGTTTGCAAAAGGCAGTTTTAACACAAAAAAAGCACTCTCCAAGAGAAAGACCGGAATGACTGATTTAGTCCTGTGCTGTGAGTAGTCTGTCAAAGGCAACGTATCTGAGCACATGGCTAGAGTACATGCCAACAGAGTCTTCACATCATGTTTCCTTTCAGTAGATCTCCTTTCCTCATCTACTACAGATTCTTGTATTTACCTAGAAAATTCTGAAACAGAGTTGTGCTGTGGAACTTCTCAGACAAAATATCTCATTTAAGTTGCAAGGGCAACTGGTATTGTAAAAAATCTTTTAGCCTAAATTTTTTGAAATCCCCAAAGCCAATGAAATTCACTCCGTGGGAGAACATAACATACTTCTGGCAATTTTCAACATCCTACCAGAGATCAGCTCTTCTTTCTACAGGAAAATATTTGGTCTCTGATATTTTTCATGACTTGCTCTGTCATTATTCCTCTACTATTCCGTAGCAAATATCTTCTATTTCTAGATCTCTGAAAATTCAATGCAGTGCAGTACCAAGAGGCTTCATTTACAGATCAGAGCAGAAAAATCCTAGACGTCTTCCAGAGCTAGTTTGCCACAAGGAACTCCATATAAGGGTATAATTGAATATCACGCCAATTTTTTTAAAAAAGCATCTCATAATGCTTTATAACACTCCAAAGTAAAATCACTTACCTATTAAATCACACATTTACTATCCCAGATAATTTTGCAGTTTTCCATTCTATATTTTTTTTTTGTCCCTGAAAGTATGAAAAGGGAATCCAAACACTGAGTTTTGGCCATATTTTCCAAGGACAGTCAGTGAACAGTAAAACCAAACAAATTCCAACTCAGTGCAGTTTTGCTTTACTCTTTTCTACTTACTTCTGAACCTCTTTCTCCTTTTGGTCCTTGCTCTCCCAGTTCACCTGGCTCTCCCTTTGGAAAGAGCATACATTAAATAAATAAAAAGAATAATCTGAATGCAAATGAAAACATATTTTGAACAGCCAATAGAGAAATCTCACTTGTTTGAAACACTTACTGGAGGCCCCTGTTGTCCAATAGGTCCTCTAAGCCCTGGAAGACCTGGATGACTCTAGGAAGCAGAAAATGCAACATATTGCAATACAAGTAACTCAGGATGTCACCCTCAGTGAGCTATAGATTTCTGTGCAAAGACCATCTTGGGAGATACTGGGTGGCCCCAGCTCCATTGATATGAGCTCAAGTATGCTCAGATCTCCTGAGGCCAGCCCTTAGAGACATCATCTTTAAATTCGCAAGTGGGAATTACATGTGATTTAAAAGTTTCTGTACTTCTGTAAGCATAGATCATATTCAGTACTTTAATTTTTTACTATGTCTATTTATATTATCTATGTAACCTAAACAGGATGTTCTGTGCGCAGGACTGTCTCTTTTGTACTTCAGCAAATTAACTGCATCAGTGATCAGCATGAGTTACCATCCAGTTTGTACTTGCTGAAAGGCTGAATACAATTAATAAATAATTATTAGATTTTCAAAGAAATTGTGTTGATATTTCAAATAAAAATGTTAATTAATTCAGTATTATGGATCCACAGGTTGAAACGGACCTCTTGAGAACATGAAGTGCAATCCTCCCTTCTCAAGCAGGCCCAGGTAGAAAAGGTTGTCCAGGACTGTGTCCAGTCAGTATTTGAGTATTTCCAAGGATGGAGACTCCACAATCTCTCTGGGCAGCCTGTTCTGGTGCTCAGTCATCCTCACAGTAAAAAAGCATTCTCTTGTGTTCAGAAGGAAATTTCATGTGTTTCAGTTTGTGATCTTTGCCTCTTGTCCTGTCACTGGACACTACTGAGCAGACTCTGGCTCCTTCATCTTCTTTCCCTCCTATCAGATATTTATACAAATTAAGATCACCTAAGGCTTCTGTTCTCCAGCTCATGAGTCCCAGCTCTCTCAACTTCTCCTCATATGAAAGGTGCTTCAGTGTGTTCTAGGAGCTCAACAGTGCAGTGAGGCACCAGAAAGAGATTATACTTCTGCTACATTACTCTATGTGCACACATAGCACACCATGTTCAAACAAAAAGAATAAAAAGCAAGAGGTATTACCTTGTAGCCCTTGTCACCAGGCTCTCCTCTATCTCCACGTTCACCACTACGACCCTAGAGAGAAAACCAAAGAGGAAAACACAACAGCTGAACTGAAATAATGCTGCAGTGAAGTACAAAATGTTGGTTAGTCTGTTTTGAGAGAAATCCCATCAAGATGGAACTGAGGACTACAAATACTAAAATTACCTTGAATAAAGGAATAAACATGATTTATTTCTAAACAAAATGTACTGCAGCCAGACAATAGACACTGTCTAAAATATTTTGTAACTGATGACTAGAAGCTAAAAGATAGATCTTACATGGGCAAAAATGAAACAGGAGTTTCACTTCTACAGGTTTATACCTATATATATATATATAAAAGGTATCTGATTTTTAAAACTCCAGGAATAAATGAAAAGACTGTTTTCAAGACATGCAAGGAAAACTCTTATGGTTTTTGTATGCACACAAAAAATTAGGTTCTTTTCTGAAATTACTTGCTGTACTCAGAATCTGCTTTAGCTTTGTAGTTCATCCTAATAAAAAAGCAATTTCAATCCATCAGTATGCCTCATACATGAGAACTGCAAAGGAGCAGAGGGAATAGCAAGAATTTTGTGAGTCACATGGTTCTTCCTGCTGCATTCAGACATGCCACTAGCTCTAATTTAGGGGAAGGTTCTTACTCCCATCACATAAGAAACAGGATATTTTTCCCCCAGAATTTTAACTTTCATTGCAGCAACTGGACCAAATTTCAGTCAAAAGCAAAATGACAGGATAGGGAATCAT